TGGGCTCTGCCCGCCGGCCGGCCCGGGGCCCGTGAGGGCCCTTCCCCTCGGTCGCGAGCAGCAGTTGGTAGTTTGCGGTGCGGGTTTTCAGAGCCGGAGAGACGGCTCTGGGTGAGGAGTCGCCGGGAAGCCGTGTTGGGAGCGGGCGATCCGTGGCGTCCACTTGCTTTCTGGCCCCGTAACCTTTGTTGGCCATTCTGGTCTGGGGGTGCCGGGGTGCGCTCGCCCCGACGAGCCGGCGGCCCTTCTCCCTCACTTGGGAAAGTTCCTCGGAGCGGAGCCTGGCAGGTTTTCCCACCCGCCTTTGGAGAGCGAGCGAAAGGATTTCGCGTATTTCAAACTTGGTCCTCAAATGTGCAACTTGAGTTGTTTTGTTCTCTCCTGGGGGCGGCGGGGAGATACTGTCCCTGGGTTGGGTACTTGTGTCTTCTGCTTACTTAATCCTTTTGTGGTTAATGGTTTCCTTTTGATCCTAAACAAAGGAAAAACAGCTCCTGGGTTGGTTTTTGTCATTCCTTCCTCTCGACCCTTTGGCTAAATGCTAGGGGTTTGTTGTCATCTAAGCCTTTGAAAGGGCCATCTCCAGGTAAACGCGATTGGAAGCAGCATTTCCCTTCTGCCAGTGCCGTGCCTGTTACAGTTTGGAATAGCTTACATTCTGGTGTTTTAAGTGATACATGTAAGGTAATGGTTAATAAGCAAGTGGTCACGCAAACTTCCAGTTCCATCTTTTTCAAAAATGACCCCTGAAATTTGAATTATTTTCAGAATTCCGAATGGTTCTGTATTCCTAGCTCCTTTTCATTCCCTCTCTTCTGATTTTCATATGGATTGAACGTGTACCACTGGCTGCAAGGATGTTTTGTTGGAGCCTAATGAGATAATAAATTGGCTATTACACTGCAAATACATGTGTTATTCTAGTTTTGACCCGCCTTGAAAAGTGTTTCTCTGACATAGAAGAGTAAATCAATTAGTTAAATGGAGTTTGAGGAGTTGTAATGTGAATAAATAAATAAGTAAATGTAACACAGAAATGGGAGAAATAATATAAAATGGATTTCATAAGTGTACCACAGTGTGAGGATTTTCTTATTTGCCTTAAGAAAACCATCCAGGATATCTGTAGACTTTTCTCCACCAAAAGATCATTTAGCAAACATTTTTATTCAGTTCAGAAAGTAACACTGATTTTAAAGTTCCTTGGTTTTTGCCGTAAAATTAGTTACTGTTAGCAAATAAGAATAGTTAGAGTCTTGTGGACAATTTTAAGGTGAGTAGGCACTTACACCCTTAATATTACAATTAATTGACTTTAAAGTAGTTCATTGGCCAGTTTTAATTAATGTAATGTGATTGGAAACATCAATTTCCGAGCTTGTTTTAGTAAGAAATTGCTTAGAGCCCTGTTTTTTTACTTTATACCTATACCTTCTAAAGTGAGTTAACATTGTAGATGTTCAAAAAAGTTTGCTTTTTCAAGCTTGTAACTTAACCTGTACCTATTCATAAGTGGTCGATCTTTACACAGTCTGTAAATTCATAAAATAATAGTCTTGTAAGAAACTGTGCAGGGTAATTTCCTGCTGTTCATGGCTTGTCAGGCTTGGTTTGTGTTTTAACACTCAACTAGGAATTTGGGGATGGCTTTTTATATTTCAGCAGAAATCCTTTTAATAGAAACAAAGGTTTTTCTACTGCAAGATGGCAAAAGATCCCCTTTTCATTTTCATTTTGTAAATATTAGAATTATGTTGCTATAATCTCATTACTTTACATTGGGGATGAAAAACACTCAGTTTAGCTGCATAACCTGCTGATCATAGACCTGTTGAGTTTTTACATTTTGCAAATATTTTCAGTTGTGTCTTTTTATAAAGGTCTGAATGCTTTCCTTGTTTGGTTTTGATTCTGGTGGTTTTATATTTTAGGACTGCAGAGACTGTGTTTGTAGCAGCTTTGTTCTACAGGTGTATTTATAATGCATCTAAAAGCTGTATGCAGTTTGGCAGATGGAGGCTTATTCATATTCTTGGGACAAGAGTCATTTTTATAGGATAGAGAGGGGCATGTATGTCTTAGATTCCTTGTCTTTGATGTAAGTAGAAGAGCCATTTTTAAGCTCTTAGTTTCTGTAAGAGGAAAGATGTTTTTCTCTAAGTATTGCAAGGGTATGTCAGAAAATGTGAAAGAAGATGATTTCAAAACCCAATTCAGAAGAGTGCCGTTATGCATTTATTAAACAAATAGTCTTTGATGCGTGCCAGGCCCTGGACTAGGTAGTAAAGTACCTAACAGGGGGCAAGTATATTATCCCTGTTCCTTAGTGGAATTAGAAAAGTAGAAGTTCCTCTTGTCTCCTGCCCTGTCCTCCAGTGTTTAGAGTAAGAAAATCATGTTATTGCAGATCGAGGGAGCATGTAATGCATTACTGAGCCAGTTTCTAAGTATGCTTGCAGTGCTTTCTGTAATGTAGAGGACAGCATTAGAGAAGATGTCAAGTGTTAACTCAGTGTCACTGGGAGCTGTCAGTGTATGGGGGGTGGAAACATGTCATCATTTTTGCACACTCCATACAAACTGAAGATATGGCTGATCTTTTACAAAGATAATTTGTTTCTGAGCAGATGAACACTTGTAGACTTAAGCTTAATTTGGCCTTAGTTCATTTATTCATTGTTCTTTAGTTATAGAAACTGGTTAGGGCAAGAAAGCAAACTTGAATGGGTCAGGTTCCAATAAAAGCATCAGAAATAAAGTGTAAAGACAATTAGCTAATCCAAGAATAAGGATTGGGTTGCAATATCATGTAGTGGAAAGGCCATGGGTTTTGGAAAGAGATAGCTAAGCTAGTAGTTGGCTTCTCAGTTACTTTTTGAGGCAAATTACTTAATTGCTGAGCCTTGGTTTTCTAACTAAAAATGGAGGTAACAGCTACCTCTTATGATTATTATATGGGTTAAATAATCATGATTAAAGTACCTAGAACATTGCTTCAGACATAAGCGTCCTCCCAAATGATCTTTTGTTCTGTTTTAGTTGTGGTTTTCAGTTGTTTTCTTCCTAATCCAAACGATTTGCCTGTGATCTTATCTTTGACCTATTATGAAATGCACTTGAGAGGCCGAAACTAAGCAAAGACGATGTAGGGTACTCAAATTGTCCAAGTCCATATACCTTAAAGCTTTAGTCATAGGAGGGCCATTGAGTCTCTTAATCAGAACTTGTTGGCTTTTATTTCAGATATTTGTAGCAAGTAAAGCTATCTGGCTTCTAAGTCCACAATAGATTAGAAAGAAGTAGATTGTGAGTAATGTGGGAGGTTAAGGGGAGTGCGGTGGGGGGGGAGGGGGGAGGATGGGGAACTGTCCTCCACTGTCTGTTATAAGAAAAAACAGATAACAGCCTGGTAAAGACAGTAGACTTAATCTACAAGACACAAAAACAAATATTTAAAGCCTATCTAGCATGTCTGGGACCATTCAGTGCAGGACCAGACCTGAAAGTGTAGTAATGCATGTTCATCAATTAGCTTAAGTCATGTTTGGGGAACTCTTTATGAGAATGCAGTAATCTACATAATTTAGATTGTCATTCAGGATGATTAACAGCTCTTCTTAAAGGGGTAAAACATTGTACTATATGGAATGGCTTATTTCATGGAAAAACCACAGTACTTGCTAGCACAGTACCTGTTTGTGTTTTTCATTTGGTTTGCCATTCAGTGTGCCATGTTACAGGCTAAAAAGCCTTTCATGCTAAGCTACTAGTAAAGAAACGTAATCTAAATGGCTTAGCACCCCATACCAAATCTTTCTTCAGAGTAAGTCATTCTTTTTGTCATCTGTAAGGATGTCATGTAACACTTTTCACTCAGGCTTTGAGATAGAGCGTGCTAGAGATTTCCAGGATCAAACTAACGTGGACAGTAGTTAGCCTAGCCCAGCCGTGGGCAAACTATGGCCCGCCGGATCCGGCCCGTTTGAAATGAATAAAACTAAAAAAAAAAAAGACTGTACCCTTTTATGTAATGATGTTTACTTTGAATTTATATTAGTTCACACAAACACTCCATCCATGCTTT